TCGGACGGCGGGCTTTCAGCAGCGGCAATTAAGAAAGATCTCGACATCACCGTCGTCTACGGCCGCTACCTAAGGAGATGAAGCTCTAGTCTACTATTGTCTCTGGAAAACAGAGGGCTGACCGAATTACCTCCATTAGAGCTTACCGATTTTGCTCCCTGTCACCGTACTCAGTCGCAACCTTCCCTGGAAGCAGACTTTTGAGCTTCGCCCAAAATAGAGTCCAAAACAGGTGAATATTAAACACGAAAAAATAAAAATCTTTGAGGGTGAGATTGGTAGCCTCCTTTAAAAAGCTCTATTCGTTTTGTGTTATTGCAGAAATTTTTAATCTTTAATTACATTATTTGGTGTTCTCTTGTGTCAATTCTGAACTTGTGATGCATTAGATTTAGTTTTAAACCATTTTATCTATAAAGCAAGCTTAGAATCTTGTGATATTTTTGCATTTTATGAATATTTAGGGATGTATTGCAGTTTCCATATTTTTGTTTTAATCTCTCTATGTCAGCATCCAAAAGTGCATCCTAATTGCAATGACATTTGTGTGTGGGGATCAATAAAAATGAATAGAAAATGAGATATATTTCTTTGATCTGGAACTTGGTCTATGCTTAAATGCTTTCTTTTCCTACCTTTTTTACATGCATATGCTTGGTTAGAATCTAGTGGGTTCTCTTTCACTTGCACTTTTGATTTAAGTGTTCTTCAAATTAATAAACATTAGCCCTTGTTCTATTTCTTGAATTGTCGGTTTAGTCTAGTAATTTTATATTTAAGGTTTATACAGTCGCGTTTTTTGGCTTATTACGTGCTCATAGATAAATCATTTAGGGTGCTTGGGGGTTTGTTTTTGTTGTTGCTAATTGGAAATTCATCAAACTTTGGAGTTCTGCAAAGGGCATGAATTGAGTTTTGATTCTTACTTCTCTATTTTTGTGTTGTGTGGATGATGTGAGTTTCAAACTCATTCATGGGTTTCAAATCTCAATTAACCACAACTCTCCCTATAAGTATGGACCATGGTTTAGCTACTGATCTTGCGCTAATTAGAACATAGCACCAAGTACTATGAACTCTGATCTTTGGCAGCACGTCTTGGAACAATTAGATTCTGTAGATGATTTCTACATGGGTTGGCATGGTCTCTGGGTACCTTATAGCTAGGTTGTTTTTAAAAGCTACAGTATGTCAGTCCTAGTGAAGTTTATTATGCTGCATAGTTTTTGTTTGGTTTCTACATCATATCTATGCTTTGGGCCAGGGTTTAACACTTTTTTTATTTGCTTTTGCTAGGGTTTGAAAGTCTACATTGGCTTTTGCTGAACCATTTAATAATCATTAAATTGGGTATACTGGTGCTTTTGCTGGGCAGGAAAGTTAGCTAGCACCAGGGGACGCCTCCATTGGAATTAACCGCCAACCTACTTCATTCATGGAGGGTGGTTAAGTTAGCTAGACATCTTCTTTACTAGTTGAACAATTCAATAAAATGAAGTTTGAGAAAGCTAGCTATCACTGGATTACATAAAATGTAAAGTAAGAACTTGTATGGTCTGCTTCTCTTGCTGGACTATCCTTTCAATTGGTTTGTATTGCTTGGCAGGAGAGCCGATCTTGCAAACACCTTTCATTCTTAACCCATCACTTCTCTCTTGTTTTTAAACTTTTTTTCTTTGATTCAATCTCGTTGGAATTCTTCACATATACTCTATCATTAAATCTCTTTTAGGCTTTGTTCTTATTATCTTTTGGCTTCTTGTACATGTTCTTTAGAGATGCCACACCCCTTAACTTTTTTCCTTTTTATCAATTAAAATTTTAGTTGAAAATAAAAAATCTCTCTGTTCGTAATATGTTAGAATTTCACTTTTTTTGGTTAAAATTAAAAAAAACATTTATAAAATGCAATTTGTATGATTGCAACTAGTAATAGATTACCGTTTTTTGGAACTTTAAAAATAGTTCTAGACTTAATAGCTAGACTAGTGTTTAAAAAGAGTACTCTTAACTTATTATAGACAATTGTGGTAACAAGAACTATATGACACAGACAACTAGTAGTAGATTAACGTTTCTTAGAACTTTAAAAATCGTTCTAGGCTAAATAGCAAGACTACTGTGTAAAATAAGTACTCTTAATTTATTATAGACAGTTGTGGCAACAAAAAGCGTATTTTGATCTGACACAGACAACCAGTAATAGATTACCGTTTCTCAGAACTTTAAAAATAGTTCTAGGCTTAATAGTCAGACTACTATTTAAAATGAGTATTCTTAACTTGTTATAAACAACTATGGCAACAAAAGCCATATGACAGAGACAACTAGTAATAGATTATTGTTTCTCAGAATTTTAAAACCAGTTCTAGGCTAAATAGTCAGACTACTGTTGAAAATGAGTATTCTTAACTTATGAGAGACAATTGTGGCAACAAAAATCGTATTTTGATATGACACAGACAACTACTAATAGAATACCGTTTCTATGGACTTTAAAAACAGATGTTGGATAAGTATCTAGACTATTGTTAAAAAAGAGTATTGTATTCTTAAAATAAACAATAGTGCCAAAAATACTATATGACATAGACAACTGACAATAGATTATTGTTTCTCATAACTTTAAAAACAGTTCTAGACTGAATAACTAGACTACTGTTTAAAAAGAGTATTCTTAACTTATTATTGACAACTGTGATAACAAAAACTGCATTTTGATATGACACAGACAACTAATAATAGAAAACCGTTTCTCGAAACTTTAAAATTAGTTTTAATCATAATAGCTAGACTACTACTTTTGTAGCCAACAACAACAAACAGTAGTCTGATTTTTTTTAACTACTGTCTTTCCATAAACAGTAGTTATGCAACAGTCGTCTGACACTGTTTTTGACGTAGTGGACGAAGGCGTAAACCCGTGTTCCAACAATTTCCCCCTTTTTGATAATGGCAAACAAGACGGGGATATGCATACTAAGGGATGTTTGTTTTTTTCAAAAAGTTGTGAAAAAGTTCCCCCTTAATTTGTGCTTAAAAAAAGATTTACTTGGATTAAAATCAAACGGTCTCATTTAGAGAGACGTTCCCCCTTAGTATATGCATAGCCCTTTTCTTCCCCCTTTTGACATTAACAAAAAGATAACCAAAATGATTTTATTTAATAAAGGGAAATAGCGGATTACAACGGAAGCATTAAAAAAGAACAGGATAATTAAAGTAAAAGAGATAGAAATTATAGGGGAGTCCTAGTCTTCGTCTTCGGTTTCCTCCTCGTCGTTGTCGACGTCCATCGTGAAGAAAACTCAAAAAATTAGAGTAGAGAGGATGAAAAATGTGAAGATATTGAAGGAATTTGTGTTTGTGTGTGTAAAAGTGAAGAGAGGGGGTCCCAATTTATAGGAAAGGTGGTGTCCAACGGCCTGATTTTCAAAATTATGGCTGTTGGAGAAGTTAATGCTGCAGCCAAATTTTGACCAGAACAGCGATGTTCTACAGGGGACATCGCTGTTGGGACAGCGCTGTTGTTCCTTGTACAGCGCTGTTCTGCGTCAAGTTTTTTTTTAAAAAAACAAGAGTCAAAAGGACAGCGATGTTGAGTACCCTACAGCGATGTTCCAAAAGTTTCTGGAATTGTGTAAGGGTGTAAACCCATTAGGACAGCGCTGTTGGGTTATCCTACATCGCTGTTATGCGATTGGAAAAAAATTTGTAAGAATGGACATCGATGTTGAAGGTAAGACATCGCTGTTTAAAAGGTTTCTGGTTTTGGTTGAAAACAAAAAGTTTTGGGAAGACAGCGATGTTCAAAAGGGAACATCGATGTTCAGAAAGTTTTTGGAAAGTGAAGGTATAAGGGACTCCCTGGGACAGCGCTGTTGGCTCATTGTACAGCGCTGTTGGAAAACTTTCTGGCTGACGTTATTTCCCTCAACAGCGCTGTTTGCATGGTTCCCCCTGATTTCATGAACGGGGTACCTGCAAAAAAAGAAAAAGTTCTCCGACGCTCAAGTTAGTAAACGTTTAATAAATTTAGATGCACAACTTAGATCATCGTGGAGTCAAGGATTCCGAGTTCACTTCGAATGCGGAAGAACGACTCTTTCTCTAAAGGTTTTGTGAAAATGTCGGCTAATTGGTTGTGTGTTTCAACAAACTCAATTTCGACATCACCTTTGAGAACATGATCTCTAATGAAATGATGCCTAATGTCAATGTGTTTCGTCCTTGAGTGAAGAACGGGGTTCTTCGTCAAGCTTATGGCGCTAGTATTATCACAACGAAGAGGGACGTGATTGATACTAAGGCCATAGTCCACGAGTTGTTGCTTCATCCAAAGTATTTGAGCGCAACAACTGCCGGCGGCTACATATTCCGCTTCAGTTGTGGATAACACAACACTGACTTGTTTCTTACTAAACCATGAGACTAGAGAGATACCAAGTAAGTGGCAAGTCCCACTCGTACTTTTACGGTCTAATTTGCAACCGGCAAAGTCCGAGTCGGAATAACCAACGAGATGACAAGAAGAGCCTTTT